GTTTCGAGACCCTTCGTGGTTGGGGACAGTGTGGCACTGTTCCACATCACTGTAGCTCGGCTCTTGGGGTTTGTAGGAGCTGGGAGTCATTCCCAAGTCGTAAATCTTCCTAATTTTGTGTTCTAAGTCTATAGTGGCTGCCATAGTGCCGTTCGTTCAAACCAACGTTGCGTCGTCCATTCTTAATGAAATCGTGTGATTTAACTTGCCTCGTGTAGGCAACATCAAGACGCTCCAGATCCAATTTATAGCAAGTCATTTAAAGCCGTGAGCTGAATGCTATCAACGCTTGAAGCCGCTGTGCAGAAATCCGACTGTGCACTCTATCTTTCGTTTTAGGCACATTCAAGGCTATTGTGACTATAACACTGAGTCGGGCAGGTCTCTCAGAAGGTGCTGCTCCGCCTCCTCTGGCAATTGCTACTGCGACACCTGCCCCCATTGCTGCTCCTGTGGCTCCTCCTCTGCTCTCTCCAGTTGTGGCTGCAACAACACTTGCTGCGGCAGCCGGGACTCCTGCTCTACCCTATCCTGCTGCGGCCGCAACTGCACCTGCTGCTGTGGGCGGGACTCCATCTCTACTCTCTCCTGCTGTGGCTTCAATTTCACCTGCTGCTGCGGGCGAGACTCCTGCTCTACTCTCTCCTGCTATGGCTGCAACTGCACCCATTGCAGTAGTCGTGACTCCTGCTCTACTCTCTCCTGACGCTCCGACTGAGACTGGTTCTGGTGCTGCTGGTGCTGGTGGTGGTGGTGGTGGTGGTGGTGGTGTTGCTGCTGCTATTGCTGCTGCCGTGACTCCTCCTCTACTCTCTCCTGGTGCAGCAGTGACTCCTCTACTCTCTCCTAACGCTCCGACTGAGACTGTTGTTGCTGTTGCTGTTGCTGTCGTGCCCTCTCAAAGCGCTCCCGCTCCTCCCTCTCCAACCTGTCTAAACGCTGCACACGGGTCAAGAAACGCACACTGCGCGGCGTAGGCGTCGCAATGCTCGTGTCTCCAGCTCCAGCACCCCCAAAACCAGAACCTCCACCGACAACACCCCCAGGGACTCCAGTGCCTCCGGAAGGAACACCCCCAGACTCCGCAGCAACTGGCCGCGGAGGCGAACGAGGAGGGAACCGCGGAACAGACGGGAAGCCGGGGGGTGAGGCGGGGCAAGGCCGCTGAGTCAAGACAGCCGTGTCCTCCTCAGGAATGGCCTCCTCTCTCACACCCCCTGCACCCCCAAAGCCGGCACCACGGGCTCCAGCAGCCTCAGTACCCTCACCCTCCGCAACTGCACCTCATGCACCCCCCGACACGACAGGGGCTGGACGCTGCGGGGGGGACGACTGCGGAGTGACGTGCGACACACCTGATGGGGCAAGACGCGAAGGGGGTGGGGCTACCGGGGCGACTGGGGGGGGCTCAAGGGTGAGGAACAGCGTGGGGGAAATGGCCTCAGAACCTCGGTGGGGGCGACTCCTGTAGTAACTAACCGAGTCGTCAGAAGTGACGTCCTGGGAACTGAAGAACTGACAAGTAACCGGGTCGTAGAACTGCCAGCCGGAGGTGTCGAGTGGAAAGCCAAGAGAAGACGCAGGCACGAGTGCGCAGAGACAGCTTGTGGGCCAGGGAAACCCTAACGCAATAGTCAGCTGCTACACCCGGTGAACCAGTCAAAAGGGAGACCGGCGTCACCCGTGGCTATGTGTCACTAGACCACAGGTTCAGCTGGTGCGCGGCGTATCGGACTGCCTGAGGCCACAGGAACTGGGGGGTACCGACATGGAACATGGAGGTCCGGGCAACCTCCATGACCAGGCCGATGCGTCGCTCGGCTACCCCGTTCTGTTGCGGCGATTCTGGTAGCGTATAAGACTGGATGATCCCCCAACCCTGACAGAACGTCTCCATGCGAGTGGAAGAAAACTCACCACTACGGTCCGAGTGCAGGCGGAGCCCACAAAGGGCCAGGGCGTCACCCTTCACTAGTAGCCACGGCTCGAGGATGGTAGGCATGTCGGCCTTCCGTCGTAAAGGTAAATCCGTGGTGTAGTCGTCCACCACAATCAGGAAGTAGCGCTCCTGACATGGGCCACGGACCGGGGAGGGGCCGTAGACGTCCAAGTGCAATGTCTGGAAGGGAGCCGTGTTAGGGGGGAACGAGGAGGAGTGAGAGGCAGTGCGCTGCCGACCCTCGACGCAAGGAGTGCACAGTAGTGCAGGCGAGCGAGGAAGCGGGGCAAGCGACTCTGGGAGACCTGAGACCAGACAGTGACGTACCATCCTACTAAGACGTGGGAACGACGGATAACCTAGTCGATGGAGCCAAAGGACCGACGGGTGCGTGAGGGACCGACAGTCGCATGACACAGCAGCTATTTGACCTGACCTGACCTGACCTGACCCAGTGTGGTGGGACCCAGTGTGTAGTGAGTATAGACTAGAGCCCGGCTCCCTGTGGAAAGTGGCCAGAGGCACTCCAGTGGCACCGACTGTGGAGGAGGCAACAGGCTCGTCCAAAGGGAAAGTGGTGACAACTTCGAGGTCGTGGAGGTGACTGACACCCACCAAGTTCCTAGAGAACGAGGGGGTGTAGTAGCCTGTGAGAAACCCAGAGGGAGCCGTCGGACATGGGAGAATGGTGGTGCTGGGCAACTACAGATCCCACAGAGGGGTCGACCAAGGCGACAGTGACAGGAGTGTGCAGTGGCATGAGGTCGGTGTAGTCGCGAAAGAAACAGCTGGACGCTCCAAAGTGTAAGGTGAACGAAAGCTGTGCAGTCGGTGAGGTCGCACCCGAGCTAGCGACAAAGGCTGGTACTAGACTAGTAGTATCCATAGCTCCCACACTAAGAACCACTGAGGCGCCTGGACTGGAAACTACGCAAGCACCAAGATTGGGAACACAAGTCTCAACCCCATCTGTAGCTCCCACGTACTGGTGTGTGAACTGTCCGGGTCCGACAGGGCCCCGTGGTGGAGGCTGCCGCTGGCTCTGCTGCTGCTGCTGCGGCCATGGCTGCTGCCGCGGCCACTACTGTCGCGGCCACCGGTGCTGCTGCCACTGCTGCTGCGGCCACTGCTGGTGCTGCCGCTGTCGCCACATCAACATGGCACGCTAGTACGGAGGGGTAGGGGCCAGTAGAGGCGGCAGTACGACCTAAGCTAGTGCTGGCGTGACTAAAGGTAGCCTAAGCTGTTTCTGATGCGCTAAACGCGGGTGCTGGCGCATGCTGGAGCTTCATAGCAATGGCTGGTGCTAAGTCTCTCTTTTTTTTATTAATTAATTAATAATTCTTCATAAATCATGCAGGGCGTGGGCGGCCAAGATAACGGACGCGAGCGGCCTAGGAAAGGGGCGCGTGCGACTGGGTGTGCGCGGCTACGCGTGTGCGGTCGCTTGGGCGCGGCTGCGTGAGTGTGCGCTACGGGCGACGGGTGCTACGGGCAATGGGCGAAAAAATAGGGTCACGGGCGACGACGGGCGCGACGGGCGCTACGGGCGACGGGCGCTTCGGGCGACGGGCACTACGGGCGACGGGTGATGCGACGAAAGAGGGGCCACGGGAGGGGGGGGAGGGGACGCGCTACGAGACGAACGAGGGGGGGGGGCGCGGAGGGGTGGGGGGAGGCGTATGACGGGATGCATGTAAGGGCCTGCGGGGGGGGGGGGCTACAGGACAAACGAGAGCGCCTGCGGGGGCCGCGCTAAGGACGAACGGAAGCGCCCGCGGGGGCCGCGCTAAGGACGAACGGAAGCGCCCGCGAGGGGGGGGGGGGGGGAGGGGGGGGCTAAGGATGAACGGGAGCGCCCGCGGGGGGGGGGGGCGCTAAGGGACGAACTAAGGCCCGTGGGGGCCGCACTACGGGACGGACGAAGGCCCGCGGGGGGCGCGGGACCTGCCGAGGTCGCTACGGGCAACGGGCGGCGAACGAACAGCGAACGGACGGCGAACGGGCGGCGAACGAACAGCGAACGGACGGCGGACGGGCGGCTAACGGGCGGCTACTGAGCGACTAGCATGTGAAACCCTAAAACGATCGAACCAATGGGCGGCGGGGGCGCTACGGGCGGCTATCGAGCAATGAACGGGGCGTGCGGAGGTGGGCCCATGGGAACGAACTAAGCTCTATACCATGTCAAATATAGAACTGGAAGAATGAACGACTAGAATGAGCAAGTACTGTAAAAACAGTTATATGTTTATATGTTTCTAGGTTGTGTAGGGGTTATCCCTAGAGGGTACAACTAGATTTACTCGACACTCTTGTAACCCCCCTCCTCACCTAATCGACATCACTCTCTCGACACTCATGTCTAGCCACTCAAGCCATGGCTCCTCACCCAAATTTACTCTAGCTTCTTAACATGGTATTAAGAGCTGTTACGACCTCTTTGGGCCCACCACCTGCTGCCCTACGCGCCACCCTCGTGTGGCCCTTCTCTCAACATTAGGCTCGTGCCCGTCGCCCCTAGGCCCCGACCCTGTCGCCCCTAGGCCCGTCGCCCCTCGGCCCCGTCGCCCCTAGGACCCGGTCCCGGCCCGTCGCCCGTCGCGCGTCGCCCCTAGGCTCCGGCCCCCGGCCCCGTAGGCCCCTCGACCCGCGCTCGGCCCCGTTCCTAGCCCGCGCCCAGCCCCGTCGGCCCCTCGCCCCGCGCCCGGCCCCGTTCCTAGCTCGCGCCCGGCCCCGTCGGCCCTTAGCCCCGCGCCCGGCCCCGTACCTAGCTCGCGCCCGGCCCGTACCTAGCCTGCGACCGGCCCGTTCCTCGCCCGTGCCCGGCCCCGTACCTAGCCCACGACCGGCCCGTACCTAGCCCGCGACCGGCCTGTACCCAGCCCACGCCCGGCCCCGTTCCTAGCCCGCGCCTGGCCCCGTCCCTTGCCAGCGCCCGGCCCCGTACCTCGCCCGCGACCGGCCCGTACCTAGCCCGCGATCGGCCCGTACCTAGCCCGCGACCGGCCCGTACCTAGCCCGCGCCCGGCCCCGTACCTAGCCCGCGCCCGGCCCGTACCTAGCCCGCGCCCGGCCCCGTCCTTCGCCCAGCGCCCGGCCCCGTCCCTCGCCCAGCGCCTGGCCCCGATCCAGCCCGCGCCCGGCCCGTACCTAGCCCAGCGCCTGGCCCCGTACCTGCCCAGCGCCCGGCCCCGTCCCTAACCCAGCGCCCGGCCCCGTACCTAGCCTGCGCCCGGCCCCATTCCGCGCCCAGCGCCCGGCCCCGTACCTGCCCAGCGCCCGGCCCCGTCCCTAGCCATGGCCCCGTCGCCCCTAGCCATGGCCCCTCGCGACCTGCCGCCCCTAACCGCGGCCCCGGTGCCCTGTCGCATCATGGTGGGTAAGGGGGTGGCAAGAGGGGGTTCTTCCTGCCCACGTGCCCTACAGTCGCACGCGCAGCTCCGCCCCCGCCCCCCTCCCCCCCCTCCATGGGGACGGGGGGGAGAGGGTGTGAGGGGGTGGCAGATGTGCCTCAGCAGCAGCTGCTGCCGCCACGCCTCCTCTCACTCTCCCTGCCGTATTTTGTGTTGGGAGGGGGAAGGGAGTTTGGAGGTTCAGGGGGAGGCAGGAGGGGATCTGCAGCACCAGCCCCCCCCAGCCCCCCTTTCTCCTCCATTTTTGGGGGGTGAAGGATTGTGGAGCAGCAGTGGGGGGGAGGGGATCTGCAGCACCAGCCCCCCCCGCCCCCCCCTTCTCCTACCTCCCCCTGCTGCGTGTGCAGCAGTGGGGGGGAGGGGATCTGCAGCACCAACCCCCCCCGTCCCCCCCCTTCTCCTTAATTTTTGGGGGGTGACGGATAGTGGAGCAGCAGTGAGGGGGAGGGGATTTGCAGCATCAGCCCCCCCCCCCCCGCCCCCCCTTCTCCTCTCTCTCTCTCCCTGCCGCACCTTGTGTTGGGAGGGGGGGAGGAGCTTGGAGGTTCAGGGGGAGGCAGGAGGGGATCTGCAGCACCAGCCCCCCCCACCCCCCCTTCCTCCTCCATCCCTGGGGGGTGAAGGATTGTGGAGCAGCAGTGGGGGGGAGGGGATCTGCAGCACCAGCCCCCCCCGCCCCCCCCTTCTCCTACCTCCCCCTGCTGCGGGTGCAGCAGTGGGGGAGAGGGGATCTGCAACACCAACCCCCCCCGTCCCCCCCCTTCTCCTTCATCCCTGGGGGGTGACGGATAGTGGAGCAACAGTGGGGGGGAGAGAATTTGCAGCATCAGCCCCCCCTCCCCCCCCCCCTTCTCCTCTCTCTCTCCCTGCTGCACTTTGTGTTGGGAGGGGGGGGGGGGGACTTGGAGGTTCAGGGGGAGGCAGGAGGGGATCTGCAGCCCTGCGCGCCCTACTGCCCTGCAGCCCTGTGCGCCCTGCTGCCCTGTGTACCCTGCGCGCCCTGCTGCACTGCAGCCCTGTGCGCCCTGCTGCCCTGTGCGCCCCGCGCGCTCTGCAGCCTTACTACGCCCCGCGCGCCCTGCTGTCCTGCTGCCCTGTGCGCCCTGCAGCCCTGCGCGCCCCGCGCGCCCTGCTGTCCTGCAGCCCTGTGCGCCCTGCTGCCCTGCAGCCCTGTGCGCCCTGCTGCCCTGCTGCCCTGTGCGCCCTGCGCGCCCTGCAGCCCTGCGCGCCCCGCACGCCCTGCTGTCCTGCTGCCCTGCGCGCCCTGCGCGCCCCGCGCGTCCTGCTGCCCTGCAGCCCTGTGTGCCCTGCTGCCCTGCAGTCCTGTGCGCCCTGCTGCCCTGCTGCCCTGTGCGCCCTGCACGCCCTGCAGCCCTGCGCGCCCCGCGCGTCCTGCAGCCCTGCTGCGCCCCACGCGCTCTGCTGCCCTGCTGCCCTGCTGCCCTGCTGCTGCCGCTACAGCCCTTGCTGTTGCCGCTACAGCCCTTGCTGCTGCCGCTACAGCCCTTTGCTGTTGCCGCTACAGCCCTTGCTGCTGCCGCTACAGCCCTTGCTGCTGCCTCTACAGCCCCTGCTGCTGCCGCTACAGCCCTTGCTGCTGCTGCTACAGCCCTTGCTGCTGCCGCTACAGTCCTTGCTGCGGCCGCTACAGCCCTTTCTGCTGTCCTGCGCGCCCCGCGCGCCCTGCAGCCCTGCACGCCACGCGCGCCCTGCTGTCTTGTGCGCCCCGTGCGCCCTGCTGCCCTCTGCACGCGCATCTGCAGCCCCATGCGCAGCCCCTACCCCGCTCCCCCCCCCCCCCCCTCCCCCCCTTTTCTCCTCCCTCTCCCTGCTGCACGTGCAGCAGTTGGGGTGAGGGGAGGGGAGGGTGTGAGGGGGAGGTTGCACCTCCAGCGCCAACCTGCCTCCTCTCTCTCACAGCCGCACCTGCTGCTGTGGGGGGGAGTGTGAAGTGGTGGGGAGGCTCACGGGATGTGGGTGGTGGGTGACATAGCTGCAGCAGCTTAGCATTCTAACAGTCTTGTGACTGCTGTTCGGTTTGGCTATCCCCTCCTTCACCTATGGGGGTGTGTCAAAACAGTTATATGTTTATATGTTTCTAGGTTGTGTAGGGGTTATCCCTAGAGGGTACAACTATATTTACTCGACACTCTTGTAACCCCCCTCCTCACCTAATCGACATCACTCTCTCGACACTCATGTCTAGCCACTCAAGCCATGGCTCCTCACCCTAATTTACTCTAGCTTCTTAACAAGTACAAGGGTGGATATAGCAAACCTAACCCTAGCACTAACCAAGGTGCACACCACCTAGACTAAACAATACAAACTATAACAGTTTTAGTATGACAGGCAGCACATGGTGGGCTCCGCGCGTTTCATATCCAACGCCATCCCGACCCCTACGGATACGTACATCACCATGGCGAACAACGACCGCCAGCGCGCAAGTGCGCAAGGCATTGTCGTCCTCAAGGCGCACGGCAGCAACACACACGTGATGCTGATTGACGTGCTCATCATGCAAAATCTTAGGTTTAACCTCCTCTCTGCGTCGCAGCTCACGGATTGCGAGGTGCAACTCAGCACCGATCCCGCAACGCGCGATATCATCCTGCACTACGCTGCGCTTGACAAGCCACGCAGGCAGATCGGCCAAGCACACCCCGAGAACGGCATGCACATGCTCGATCTCGACATCCACGACTGCAGTGGCGACTCGAACGATATAATCGACCTCGCTCCGCTCCGCTTCGAACACATCCACCACTCTGAGTGGAAGCACCCCAACGGAAGGCCATGTGTGCCACATCACCCACATCCGCGCGAAGTAGCTCAACACGACCCCAGCGCAGATGGCATCTGCAGGGATTGTCGCACGCCGACGGCATCGACAAACGCAATAGCAGGAAGAGGCCTCGTCGTGATTGCCGAAGGTGAGGGATACAAACCGCCAGACGAAGGAATGTCAGCGTTGGAGCTTGAAGTTGCAACACGCCGCGTTTTCAGGACATGAAGAGTCGTGTATGGTTAGCAGCATCTGGACCGTCGGAGAAAATGCATTGGGCAGTTGCAGCAGCAAGGATTGTGGCGGGAATAGGTTCGTAACTGTCTGGAGTCGCACGGTTGGATTTCACTGCAATAAGGGAGTGTACCCCTCAGAATACATGGCTAGCTAGGACGACTGGTATTCCCTTTGTATTGTTATATAAACATATGTATGCCTTTGTTTTAATAATCTCAGTCATTTTAAATTCACTTTGACCTGAGGTCAATATTTCTGCTGGAACACACTCTCTGCAAAACTTCCTGAGGTGATCTTTGTGAGAATAAAAAACGAGAATGAATGCATTGAGCAGAAGTTGGGTACAAGTACTAACCCTAATTGGGTTGTACCCCTTATGGGCTACCCCACTTCAGCCTACACAAATATATAAGCTATAATGTTCTGACACACCCCCATAGGCAAAGTGGGGGAGAACAAGTGGTCACAAGACCAGTCAAGAAAAGCAAAGCAAGCTCAGGGTGGATCACAAAGTCACCACACAGTCTGAGCACAAGCAAAGGGCCACAAGGCCAGTTCACATGCAGAGTTATATAAAAAGAACAAACAATACAGTGATCATACCCTAGCAAGTGCAAGCATGCAGGTATATATAAAGATCACAGTACAAGCAGAGTCAAGCAGTAAGCAAGTGAGGTAAAGTAGGCACAAGACCTAACACAGTAGCAAAGCGCTGACGATCACTAGGCAGAAGTGCCTTGGTGAAGACATTAGCAGTGTTGGCCCGAGTGGCCACGTACGCAAGACGAAGCTGGCCACGCTGCTGCAACTCTCGAGCAAGGAAGTATCGCAGAGCGATGTGCTTCGTTCAGTGCTCCAGTCTGTGCTCTTGACACAAGGCTATCATGGCCTTGTTGTCTACGTACAGAACTGGAGGCGAACGAGGCTGCTCTCCCAAGTCGGTCAGCAAGTAGGTGAGCTAGCGTAGCTCCTGAGCAGCCATGTCTCCGGCGTAGATCCCAGCCTCACATCTGGAGCTGAGAACTGAAGACGAGCGGGTAGACTGCCAAGAAACCGAGCCGGACCCAAGGCTGAAGGTGTAACCCTGTGACGACCGCTGCGTAGCTGAGTCATCAACCCAGGAGGCGTCTGCGTGACCAGTGAGGACAACTGGACCCCGTCCTCCAAGCACAAGCCCCATGCCCGACGTACTGCACAAGTAACGCAGTACCCTCTTCGCAGCATCCCAGTGCACCTTTCGGTGCCTACCGGGAGCCACGTAGCGAGCCAGAAGGCTGAGAGGGTACGCGAGGTCAGGTCGTGTGCAAGTCATCAGGTACATGAGGCAACCCACAAGCTCTGGGTACGGACCACTCGGCTCTACGGACTCGTCTGAAAGTGGAGCTGAGAGCGAGTGGCTGGTAGACAGAGGAGTGAGCTGTGGCGAGGAGTACTGGAAGCCGAAGCGCTGAAGGACCTGGTGCACCATGTGTGACTGAGTCAGTGTGATGGTGCGCCGTGCTCTGTCCCGGGTGATCTGCAGGCCAAGATAGCTGCGTAGTTCACCCAGGTCAGTGCAGGTATGTCTCTTCTGCAGCTCGGACTTCACAAGGGTCAGTGCCTCGGTGTCAGCCGTGGCAAAGACGAGGTCGTCGACGTACACTAGGACGTAGAACGGCGGCAGCGAGATGTCGGTGCGTAGAAACAGCGATGGGTCTGCTGTAGAAGGAGCAAACCCAAGAGCCGCAAGTGTAGTCTTCAGTGTGTCGTGCCACTCGCGAGGCGCCTGGCGGAGACCGTAGACTGGCCGGCGGAGGCTCCACTGAGTACCTGCAGGAAACGTCCCAGTGAAACCAGGTGGTCGGCGCAGCCAGATCTCCTCGTGCAGGCTGCCCTGCAGGAAGGCTGTATTGAAGTCCAGGGAGTGCAACTCGTAGTCACGCTGAGCAGCAACGTGCAGCAACACCCGAAGAGTAGTCATCTTCAGGGTGGGGGAGAAAGTCTTGAAGTAGTCAACTCCCTGTCGCTGGCTGAAGCCTCGAGCAACGTAACGCGCCTTGAAGGCAGGCGGAGAACCCGGCGGCCACTTCACCCTGAAAATCCACATGCCATCGACTATGTTCGCCCCAGGTGGGGGAACCTCGTCGACGTAGGTGCCTGTGGACTTCCAGGATGCCATCTCGGCATCCATAGCTGCCTGCCACTGAGAGGAGTAAGGACCCGTAATCGCCTCTGCGTAAGAGCGCAGGGTCGGGATGTATGGAGCATCCGGGTCTCCCTCAGGGGCAAGCAGCATGGAAGCGAAACGAGGTACAGCAGCTGCAAGACACTCAAAGTCCTCCTGCCTGTCCTCAAGGACGTCCGTGCCAAGAGCACACTCACCCCCGACGGATGGAGGACTGGTAGGCACAGACTCAGCAACTAGAGCAGAGGCGGAGTCGAGACGGCAGGCAGCAGCAAAGTCAAGCAGCTCAGCAACGAGAGCAGACGCAGCAGCAGACTCAAAGGACGGGTCTGTGACAACAGTGGCAAGGAGGCAAGCAACAGTGGGACTGGCAGCATGCGCTCGGTCAGACTCAGGGTCAGGGACCTCAGGAAGAGAGGACTCAGGAGGAGCAGGCAGGGAACACGCAGTGGAACAGAGGAAGGACGGAGTGCCATAGCGTGCGTGCCTGGGAAAGTTTGAGGACGCAAACGAGGAGTGCGACGAGCAGTGCGAATAGGCGAGACAGAACGAGACGCAGGCTCACGATGCTCTGTAAGGCCTCCG